ATCTCTGCACTTTGGTCTCCCAAGGATAAAATGGAAACTGAATTGCCCAGGGGCTCCATCCCGCCTGTGCCCACCCCGCCTCACACACACCTACCATTTGCCTGGTCTGCTGGAGCTGGGCATCAAAGCCCTGCAGCTGCTCAGCCACCTGCCCCGCTGTCCGGAAGGCCCCACCAGCCCTGGGTAAGGCACCCCTGCAGTGGGAGCCACAGGCCGTGCCATTATCTCGGGGACACAGCTCACCAGGACATGCTCCTGGGGTGCAGGCCGTCTGCCTAGAGCCACCACAGAGCTGAGGAGAGATGGGGTATCAAAGAGGCCACTCAGGCAGGGCCCCTCAACACCTGCTTCCAGCCCACACTCAGGAAACAAACAGCCATACATGTCCTGACAGCCAGGCAACTGCTGGGCATATAGGGAGGGGCACAAGGTCAGGATGGGTGGAGTGTAGGACAGGTGTCCCATGGGACAGGTTTTCCCTTATGGGAAACAGGTGGCAGCAGTCATGTGACTAGGTGGAGTTGAGGCTCCAGGGGGTGGACTCCATGCCCTGAGTCACCTTGTTGATGGTGGGTGTCAGGTCAGGCAGAGAAGCCATCTCTAGCCTCAGTGCAGCGAGCTGGGGGCCACCGGCGCTTCCTCCTCCTGCCTGTACCTCCAGCCTCTCTGCCTCCTTCCGGCTGTCCCTGAGCTGGCGCAGCAAGCGGGAGCTGTCAGAGACCTGCTGAGCAGCCTGGGATGACCGCTCATAGGCTGTGGTCAGCAGCCGGAAGGCTCCTATGGGAAGAGGGGAGGGACCAGAGGTGCTCCTGAGCCTGGCCGCCTGGAGAGGCAGGAGCAGGAGGACAGGGAGCCGTGGCATGCCGTGTTCCTGGAGGCAGCAGCACACGGGGCTGTCCGAGAGCCCCTTCCTCACCTGACGGATCGGCACTGCTGAATTTTTCAAACTGCTGCCTCTTGTTCTGATACATAACCAGTAGGTGATTGAAGCTTCTGTCCAGACTCTCCAGGTCTCCAGGGAGGGACAAGATCTCCTCCTCTAGGGGCAGGTCTGGCTGCAGGCCCTGGAGAGTTCGCCTGAGGTGGGAGAGGAGCTTTCACTAAAATATAAGAGGGGGGCTGTGCCTCCCCAGAGCCAGCCATCCTCTGGGAGCAACTGCTGAGTCAGGACAAGCAGAGGCCTTCAGCAAAGAGGACAGAGGGCAGAATGCACAGGACAAAGACAATTCCCCAGACAGAGGCTGGGAGTGCCCGCCAACCTTCCTCCATGCCTCTGCATGGGGGCCCACAAAACCCTCTTCAGCCACCTTTCCTGATCTCCTCCACCTGTCCCTGCCCCTGGCTTTGGTGAGGAGTGTCACCCTGACCCCACCTCCTCCCTCTTTGCAGGCTGACTTCAGTGGCCATCTGTACAGTGTGGCTCTCGAATCCCTCTTCTGTAGTCCACAACTCCCACTGACCTCCAAACCCCACCACTGCTGCCCACTGGTCACCCCCTGAAAGGGGTCAAGGTCCTGCCCTCAGGCCCAAGGCCCCAGAGGTCTTGAAGATTCCTCTCTCCCCATACCCTGTGCAGCTCCACCAACCCAACCACCAACTCCCTTCCACAAGCCTCACTTTCTCTACCTCCAGGCGGCACTCAGGTCTAGAATGCCCTTCCGTGGAATTCACCCCACCTGTGTTGCCAGACTATTGAACGCCTCAGATGGACTACCCAAATTTGAGACTTGGGTCAGATGACACTTCCTCCGTGAAGCCTGGCACAAGTGCCCCCCTTCTGGAGTTTCTCTCTTACAACACGCATCACATTACAGCTCATGGTTCACACACCAGTCTCCCCCACATGAGCCTCTTTGGGGCAAAGACTATGCCACATTAACTTCAGTGTCCCCAGTGCCTCATAATGGATGGTTAAGGAAATATGGGGAGTGATTCCCAGCATTTGCTCTAGCCCCTCTGCCAAGGCTGCCAAAAGAGGCTCCAGCACATCCATGAATCACAAAACCTCAGTTTTCATTCTTCTCAGGCTGCCTTTTCTCCACCACCAATCCCACACCTGGATGGATGGCTGTGTGCGCCCTGGGAAAGCCAGAGCTGAGGGAATGCAAACTAATCACAGGAGCCTTCAGAAGGACTCTGCTGGTGGGCTGGGGTGTGGGCAGGATCGCTTCCATTGCAAAGGCAAATGCGAGTTATTTTTAGAGCCCCTGCCTCTCGGATGCCCTCCACCAGGGTGACTAATCCAGAGCTGGCTCTCCTACGGGTGCCCCAGGCACGTGAAAGCACGCAGGGCTTGGGGTCTTAGTCTGCATTCTGAGTGCCGGCTCTGTCCGGGGGGCCACATGGCTCTGTCACTTCACTTCCCTGCCAGTTTTCTCACCTGTAGGACAGAAAAATACCCCACCACACCAGCCTTCCGGGCCTGCAGTGATGTGGTTGAGAGAAAGAGCACTCATGCCTTGAACACTGCGACAGGCTAGAAAGAGGACCAGCATGACCCCCTGGTGGGCACCCATGTGGCATAATTCCACTAAGTACTTGGCAGGGAAATGGAATTACCTGATGGAGGAAATGTCATTGGCCACCTGGGCCACCTCCTGCTCTGTGACAGAGGCACCGCTGAGAATTGCTCGGATCTGCTCGACCTTCCTCTTTGTGTCTTGCATCCGGGACACCAGGCCATGGTCCTCCAGGCCCGGCCCTGCCCACAGGCTGGCAGTGGCATTGCGGAGGTTGCCCAAGCGCAGGGCCTGCTCCCGGAGGTCTGCATCGTAGGTCTGGAAGCAAGGGTGGCAGGCCACACACACTGGGTAGCGATTGCAATAGCCTCGCTGGCACTGGTCACAGCGGGGACCAGTTAAGCCAGGGCGGCAGAGGCAGCGCCCTGAGGCCTTGTCACAGCCCGGGCCCTCTGTTCCCCGGAAGTCGCAGTCACAGGCTAGGGCCAAGGGAAAACACAGTCAGAGAGCAGGGGCCAGAGGGCCCTGAAGTAAAGGTATGACCCGAGCATCCTTCTACAGGGCTTAGAATAAAAGCCATGGTCACAACAGCGGTGAGACCCACCACGTGCCAGGCACCACTTGTAGTCACACATGCTCACTCATCTGATCTAACTCTGGAGGTTAGCGGCTCTGATCTTCCCACTTTATAGATGAGGCAACTGAGGTGCAGAGAGGTCAAGTACAGTATGCCTTCTCCCCCAGTGCGCAAACTGAGGCCAAAGAGGGGAAGTAACTGGCTCAAATCACTCAGTAAGGGGGAGGCAGAGCTGAGAGCAGAGCCAGCCCTGCATGCTGCAAGTTCTGCACTCTTGAGGCCACATCCGACTGCCCCCCGGGAGATGACCCTTGCCTGCTCCAGACTCACTATCTCCATCTTTGAAGAGGGAAGAAATGTCCTCCCCTCCTTGCTGCTTCCCTACAAATGGCTTCTGGTAAATGCTCTTTCTCAGGGAAGTTGGGAGCAAAGCTATCCTGTTGGGGAAATGTGGGGACAGCTGGACAATGGATCTGCCTTGGAGGCTGGGAGGCCAAGCTGACCAGCCAGACCACACACACTCATGGGGCTGCCCAGGCCCACACCACATGTGTCCATGTGGGATTTCCTGTTGTACCACAAACCCGTACTCCCCCCCACTGCCCAGCCACAGCTCTGCCCCAATAGCTCCACCCCCACAGCCGCAGCACTGCCCACACATTGACCACGCACCTCTGCAGCCCGTGGCTGCATCTCCGTGGGTCCTGTCTGGACACTGGCGGATGGCTGCGGCATTGCATGTCAGGCCTCCAAACCCTTCCTGACAGGGGCATTGCCCTGTGAACTGGGAGGGGGAGAGCACAGTCAGGGGACCCTCGCTTGCAGGTTCTCCTTGCCCTGGTGTCAGCGGCTATGTCATAGATCCTTCGTCTGCAGACAGAATCCAGGGCTCACGGGCTGTCTACAGAGCTAGTGTGACCCCAAAGCAAGAGATAAGCCCCCAGAGATAAGCCCCAAAGTCAAGTCAAAGTCAAGCTCCCACCCAGAGATAAGCCCCAAAGTCAAGACCCAAAGTGAGTCTTTCAGAAGGCATGTCATTGCTAAAGGCTGTGATCCACAGAGAGAGGGACATCTGGTAGCCTCCCCAAAGGGGAATGGGGACAGGAGAAGCTCAGCCTGACAGTGAAAAGGCCCAGAAGGGCAGCATGGAGAGTGGACAAAAATGCTGGCGTGCAAGACCCGTCCCTTGCTGAGGGGCCCACAGGTCATCCCTGGCTCATACCTGATTGCACTGGGGGCTGAGGGAGTTGTGTGGGTCACAGGCACATGGTTGGCAGCCCTGGCCACTGGCCAGCTTCCAGTGGTAGGGAGCACACTGGTCACATTTGGGGCCTACCACGTTAGGCAGGCACAGGCAGCGTCCAGTCTCCTCATCACAAGGCATGTCCTGCCGGGCCCCCAGGAGGCTGCAGTCACAGCCTGTAGGAGAGAGGACACACACCCAGTGAGGTGCCTCAGCCTGGGAGAAGAACGGGGCGGGGCCGTTCCCTACAGATACCATAGCTGACTTACATGGCCACCGTGCTTTCCCACCAGTTCCAGCCACCTGGCCGACAGCTTGCCCCCCAACCCCACCCCTGCACCACCACTTGCCCACCCCTTAGCTGACTCAGTCCTGCTTTCCAAGTCAGACCTGTGCTGCCACCTGCTGGAGGACAGTGGCACAGCACCAGAGCTGGAGAAGATGGCAAGATGTCGTCCAGGCAATGCCTGGCACACTGCCACTGCCTACCCCAAGATGGGATTTCCCCTGAAGACAGTGTGTACCCAACACAAGTGGAATTATAGAGAAAACGCCAGCACACTGAGTTCGAATTAGGTATGGGGTCCTTTATTGGCTAGCTAACCGAGATAGGTTCACATCTGAAAAATTCTCGGCCAACCATTACAGAGGTAGGAGTTTTTTTATACCCTTCTTTCAGTTGGGGAGGGGACTGGAATTCCTAAGGCAAAGCAGTTTACAGAAGCAAAAGGCGAGGTTAGATCTATGGGGAAAGGGGTCAGGATCGAGTAAGTATAAGGGGAGCCAAATGTGGTTTTATAAGGATCTATATCCTGGCCTGTCTCCATACGGAGGTTAGATCTATGGGTAAAGGGTTGGGATTGAGCAATTCCAAGGGGAGCCAAATGTGGTTTAACAAGGGCCTGCATTCTGGGATAACCTGCCCTGTCTTTACAGGGTATGTTTATTTAACACTCCCCATTTCTGCAAGGCCTACGTGCTCAGGGACAGGTTGTGAGAAAGTGGGGGGTATGGGATGAGGGAGTGCAAGATGGGGTCAATGCAATCTGGCCTTCTCAACAGTACAGTAAGCGGGCCAGTCTTGGATCTGGTGGCTCCATGTGCCCTGCCCCACACCAAGCTGGGCCAGGCCCCTTACTCACGGTGGCAGCCCTGCGGGTTGGCGTTGGTGAGTCCAGTGAAGCCCGGCTTGCACAGGTCACAGCGCTCTCCCTGAACATGCTCCTTGCACACACACTTCCCAGTCACTGGGTCGCAGGGAGCCCCTGGCACTGCCCCATCCGGGTCACACTCGCAGGCTGAGAGACAAAAGCAGCCACCACAGTAGGAATGAAGAAAAGCAGGCTGCCTGGTCAAATCATTGGTCCACCACTGGATTTCAACCTCATAGCTTCAATCAAGTTACAAAAGTCCTTCTGTGCCTCAGTTTCCTTATATGTAAAGTGGCGATAATGATACAACCCTCACGGACTTCTTAGGAGGAACACATGAGTAAATACAAAATGAGTGGAACAGTACTCGGCCCGTGTTGAGTATTTTTGTTGTCATTATTTGCTGAATTACTGTGTGCCAAGCTCTGAGCTGTGCACTCCCACATGTTGCCTTGTGTAATCTTTGTGATAAGCCTGAAAGGTGGGGATTATTGTTCCCATCCTACAGATGAGAAAACCAAGGCTTAAACATGTTAAAGAACTTACTCAAGTTCACATTCCAAGCAAATGCTAGAAACAGAGGTCAAACACAGTTCTGTCTCACTCTTTCCATAAACAAATAATATCAACAGGAAGTGGCCCAGCTTTTCCCCACCCCCACTCCCGGACTTCTTTCACGCCTTTCAAAATATGAGGCTCTTTCACCCAGAAAGTCTTTCCTGATCACACCTGACCAAGTCAGATCATTTCAGCCCAGTTTGCTCTCTCCTACTCAAACTCGCCAGCCTTGTGGGCATGTCAGGCTGCCTCTGGGGATTCTGTTCCACTACTTGCATATGTTCACTCAGCAAACATTCCTTGAGCGTTAATGATTTGCCAGTCATTGTGCGAAGGCCAGAGGGAGTAAGACAAAATCCCTGCCACAGAGGAGGTGTTGGTGTCAGAAGAAATGAAAAAATAAATATCAAACTACATTACAATATGGTCCAGGCACATAGCACATACATAGAGAAACTGCTTCCATCCCTCTTTTTCATGTGTGTATGATTTATATTTCCAAACAGTTTGTGTGTTCCCCGAGGCCACAAAAAGTAAGGGCTATATATTTATGGAGATCGGCTGATTGATTGATGGACCAAGAGGTTCAACCACCTGCTCAGGAGTGCTCAGCTAAGTTAAAACAATTTCTCCTAAGTCCTGACTCATGACCAAGTCTTCATGCTCCCCAAGTACCTTTGTGTCCCCAAGGACATGTGCTCTGTTTTGCCCAGACCAGACAGGGAATGACAAATGGGTGACACTCTGGGTCCCCAGAACCTCTACTCACGGATACAGGTCTCCTCAATGGGGGCCCCGGGCCGCCGGTTCCGGAAATAGTGCAGCTGACACCGCTCACAGTTCCTGCCTTCGGTGTGGTCCCGGCAGTTGTCACATACACCTCCATGTGTCCCCTGGCTGGCAGCAAACACAGCTGGGTCGAAGTGACATGTCTCCGAGTGTCCGTTGCACTCGCACCCTGGAAAAGGAGAGTCCCAGGGCTGCCATCCGACCAGCACCATTGCCATGTACAGTATGTGCCACGTTAGCTGGCTGGCACCACTAAGAGCTCAGTAAGGTGCTCTGGGCAGAGAGGAGCCTTGTGTAATTTAATTAGGGTTGGAAGACCAATACAAAAGCAGAGTAGAATGAGAACTCAGGCCTCCTGTTTCCCAGTGTTGGGATGAATCCAAGAATAGTGCCCACTCTGGGCCACTGTTAAATGGTCTCTCCCTAGCTCTGCTCACTGGCACCCGGCTCTCCTGCTGGGTCACTGCCTCTCTCTGATCTAAGGATCCCTGTTTCTCATCATTTAGGCAGACAAAGGCCCTTACTCCAGGGGGACATTTGAAGTAGGCAAAATGACATTGCCTTAAACAGGGCAAGGCAACTGAAGGAGCCAGAAGAAGGAGACGCTGGGGATAGTCTGAAAGCCATGTGGAATCAGAAGCACACAACAGGCCTCGATCTCTGCAGGCCTGACTGAGATGGAGGGAGGGGGAGGATGCTTTCTCCAATCCCACAGAGCTTCAACTGCAGAGCTGCAATTCGGTTTGGATTTAAATAATAAAAACTAGATTCACCCCACATCCCAGGTAAGGTCACCAAGGCCTAGAGGGGCCAGCACAAGACCCAGTCCCTACAGGAAAGGGGTGACCCGAGCCTCATACTTTGGCATACGTGGGGGTCCTGGGCCTCCGCAGGTCTCCAGGGCCGGTTGTTGTAGAAGGGTGCACAGCGCTCACAGTTGGGGCCGGCTGTGTTGTGCTGGCAGACGCAGACATCGTGCACCTGAGAAGGGGCCCATCAGCCATTAGGAGTAATTAACAAAGGAGAGTCCATGGATGGATCTGACCTTCCCACCCACCACACTGGGCTAGGCTCGGACCCCAGCCCTCACAGGACACTTTCCCTGAATCCTCCAGACATCATACAGCCCCTGTGACACTTCCAGTGGCCTGCCTACAACCACTGTGCTATGCATACGAGCACATATTCGTGTCAGCGCATGTGTGTGTGTGTCCACGTGTGCCTGCACTGCTCCTCTAGTGAGGCTTCACAGGCTCATTCCTTGCACTTGGACATGATTCCCAGTTCAAGGCAGTACCTGGAAAGTGCTCAGACACCCTCGTTGGTAACTGTGTGATTCCAGAAGCTGCTGGACCCCCTGGAGATTTATATTCCAGCAATCTATGACTACAGTTGTTTAGCCAATGGAACTGTTATGATCAATTGTTACTAGACTCATTCTGGTATAAAAATAGAATAGTTATCGTATGCTGACTGCCTTCTAAATTGAGTCCAACACCTTCCGCTTAGCATTCAGGGAAGGACCTGTATCAAGTTTGCTCCGTCCTCTCTCCCACACCCTGCCAGCAGCACAGCCGGCTGAACTCCCAGCTGCTCCTACTTTCCCCTTCTTTGGGATTTTACTGATGTTTTTCCTTTTGCTACAACTCTTTTCTCTCCATATTCACCCCCTAAACTCCTGTCCCTTAAGCTCCAACTAGAATGGCACCCAGAATAATAATGGCACCCATAACCTTCTAATCCATAGATCTCAATGCTGGCTACACATCAGAATCACCTGGAAGTATTTTTTGAAAAAGATCCAGGTCTAGGCCCAATTTAATCAGAACCTGGGGAACAAGGCACAGGTAGTGGTATCTTTTATAAGTGATGATTCTACTGTGCAGCCAGAGTTGAGGACCACCAGGGCAGGGCAGGTACCATAAGGCCTCCCTCCGCATCTGAAAGCAAGTTGGTTTCTTCACATGTCCTCGGCCTTGGGTTCTAGTGATTTGTCTTATGGGTCTCAATAGATGACACATTCTCTGAGCTGATCTCCCTCTATATTCCTCTGCAGCCTGGGGCAGGAGCTGGCCCACCAGTGGAAAGAACAAAGCCCACTGATGCTCATGTCACCTGTATTTCCCTCCCAGACCACTTTATGTGATTTTGTCCTGCCTCTCTAGCACCAAGACAGCTGTCACGTCCCCCTATGCTGACAGAAGAACTGAAGCCCCAGAAAAGGGCAATGACAGGTCCCTCTGCTTCTTTCCCCAAGCTTCTCACTCCTCCACTGGTGGTTCTCACGTTTGATTTCACAGCAAAATCTCCTGAGAACTTTGCTGAACTGGAACTTCTTTCTCATCCCCATCCCTGCTGATCTGATTACACTGGTCTGGGGTAGACTCCAACTATTGTTCTCACCCCGCCCCACATCTTCCCACGAGATGAGAATTTGGAATCTCTAAACCAGTGACTACTCTCAGCCTTGCCAATACATCAGAATCCCCTGGCAGCTTTAAAAATCAATAATAAAATCCAAATATCTTAAGTGAAGGTCAGTGTCTGGGCAATGTTTCTTAGGTTCCAATGAAATTATAATACATTGTCAGGGTTGAGAGGCATCACCATAAACTCCCCATCCTGTACCCAAACATCTATTTATACGTAACTGAAATGCCAAACTATAAAGCAGGTCTAGAACTCTGGTTTTTGAAATGAAAACCACCTAGATTCTTTATTATTGCTGAAGTATTCAATGCCCAAGCCTTAAATTTAGTGTCCTCGCTTCTTTCTGGGAGCCCCAAGAAGGTCCTTAGTCTACTCTATCCTGCCCCCTCCCCTGGGCTGTCACCTGCACAGCGGTGGAGGGGCCAGCTGAGGCTCCAGGCTTGGGGGCACAGCGGTCAGCATGGCCATGGCAGAAGCAGCTCCCCTGCAGACGTAGCTGGGACACTGCATAGTAGGCGCTGGGGGGATGGTAGCCCCGCTGGGGCATGGGTGCCAGCCTGGTGAAGTTCACTCTCAAGTTTGTGATCTCTCCCAACTCTGAGAGGGGCAAGCAGCATGGAGGGATGGGTTGAGAAAGAAAAGATAAAGAAAGGAAGTTAGAGGCAAATAGAGTCTTCTGGAGCAGGACAGACAAGGAAAACCACCCTGCTCCTCCTTGTCTCCATAACGCCATTATACCAGGGCCATCCTGCCCAGCCCTCAGAATTCCCACAGCATCCTGCACACAACACTTCCATGGGGTGAGCAGGGCAACGATTAAATCCCCAACCATGCTGACAGAGATAGCAAAGACAAGGAAATTTCCATGAGTTCCACCCTTGTTTCATTTCCCACCCACAGTCCCATGGGCAAGACAAGTAGCCACACTAACCTTGAATTTTTTGACTTTGTGTTGCTGGAATCCCAGATGCTAAATTCATAAGATTAAGTTGTACCTACAGAAGGAGGGGAAAGGGAAGAATTGACAAAAGAGATAAACAGCAGGCCCAAGCTCAGAGGAAACCTTCCTTTCTACTCAATGCCCTACCCTCCTCTTTGCTGAGTTCTTTCTTACCCAGAACTTGAGACAGACCACGGATGTAAGGCCTGCCAGTTGCTGTGGGGGAGCACCATGATCACTGGGCCCCAAATGAGAGTGTGTGTGTGTGTGTGTGTGTACACAATGTCTACTCTCCAATTAAAAACATAGGTGTCACGAGAATTTCCCAATTTCTCTGGATCAAAAATTATGAGAAGATATATAATCTACATGTGAGGGTTTAGGGAATACTAATTTTCCAATGGTGACCACAGCACTTTGGACAACCTCAATTTCAACTATGCTTCTTATTTATAAGAAACCACTCATTAGATGTGACTTCATCTACATATTTTAGGAAGAGTTTTCACATCAACCCCATACAAATTAACAAAAAGTCTTGTAAATTAATTGAAGTTCTGCATAGATTCTGGTTATTAGACTTTTGTCTGATTCAAAATAAACAAATATCCTTTCCCATTGAGTAGGTTGTCTGTTTGCTTTGGTTGTTGTCTCCTTGGCTGTACAGAAACTTTTCAGTTTCATTAAATCCCATTTGTTTATTATTGGTGTTGTTGCTATTGCCATGGCTGTCTTCCTCATAAAGTCTTTCCCCAGGTCAATATCATCCAGTGTTTTTCCTATTCTTTCTTTGAGAATTTTTATCATTTCATGCCTTAAATTTAAGTCTTTTATCCATCTTGAATCAATTTTTGTAAGTGGAGAAGATGCGGGTCCAATTTCAGTCTTTTACATGTGGATATCCAATTCTCCCAGCACCATTTATTAAATAGGGAGTCCTTCCCCCAGTGGATGTTCTTGTTTGGTTTATCAAAGAGTAGGTGGCTGTAAGTTGTTGGTTTCATTTCTGGGTTTTCTATTCGATTCCAAATATCTATGTCTCTATTTTTATGCCAGTACCGTGCTGTCTTGACCACTATGGCCTTGTAGTACAGCATAAAATCTGGTATAGTGATACCCCCCCGGCTTTGTTTTTGTTACTAAGAACTGCCTTAGCTATATGGGTTTTTTTCTGGTTCCATACAAAATGCAGAATCATTTTTTCCAAGTCTTGAAAGTAGGATGCTGGTATTTTAATAGGGATGGTGTTGAATCGGTAAATTACTCTGGGAAGTATAGACATTTTAACAATGTTGATTCTTCTCAGCCATATATATGGTATGTTCTTCTATTAGTGATGTCCTCTGCTATTTCCTTTCTAAGGGTTTCATAATTTTCTTGATAGAGGTCTTTCACCTCTTTTGTTAGGTATATTCCTAAGTATTTCATTTTCTTTGGGGCTATGGTGAAGGGAATTGTGTCCTTAATTAACGTCTCATCTTGGCTATTGTTGGCATATACAAAAGCAACTTCTTTGTGGACATTGATTTTATATCCTGAGACATTATTGTATTTTTTTGATGACTTCCAAGAGTCTTGTGGTTGAGTCTTAACTTACAAGAAAAAAGTCCAACAATCCCATACATCAATGGAGAAGAGACATGAATAGAATCTTCTCTAACGCCGATAGACAAATGGCTACTAAGCACATGAAAAAATGCTCATCATCCCTCATGATCAGAGAAATAGAAATTAAAACCACCCTGAGATATCATCTAACCCCAGTCAGAATGGCCTATATCACAAAATCTCAAAACTGCAAATGTTGGCGCTGATGTGGAAAGAAAGGAACGCTTTTGCATTGCTGGTGGGACTGCAAACTAATATAACCTTTTTGGAAGGAAGTCTGGAGAAACCTTAAAGAACTCAACCTAGACCTCCCATTTGATCCCGCAATCCCATTACTGGGCATCTATCCAGAAAGAAAAAAACCTTTTATTATAAAGACACTTGTACTAGGCTGTTTATTGCAGCCCAAATTATAATTGCTAAAATGTGGAAACAGCCTAAATGTCCTTCAACCCAGCAATGGATTGGTAAGCTGTGATATATGTATACCATGGAATATTATTCAGCCATCAAAAACAATGGAGATGTTACAGCATTTGTACTAACTTGGATGGAGGTGAACACATCATTCTTAGTGAAGCATCACAGGAATGGAGAAGAAAGAATCCTATGTATTCAACTTTGATATAAAGACAATTAATGACACAGTGGGACAGAGGGGAAGAGGATACCGGACAGAGAGGGAGGGAGAGGGGTGTGGGCAAGGAAAAAAAAATAAGAAAGAAATTAATGACTAATTCCTATATAAGTTGTATTTAATTTGGACCGAAGTACATTACTTAAACATTAATTTTTAATTCAACATGTTAAAATGTTGTTTATCATATTGCATCCTCATTTATAAGTGAAATATATTTGTAATTTCCCCTTTATAATAATATATTTTCTCCAATTTTAATATCAGGTGTATCCAGATTAAGTAGAATGCTTTTGTAGTATTTCTTTTTCTATTGTCTATGAGATTTGGCATGATCTGTTTTTTTGAAATTATCTGTTACTTTCATTTATGAATATTAGTTGTCTATTTTTTTGAGACTTTGAAAAAAAAAAACAAAAGAAGAAGAAGTTGACTGATCAAAGTATTCTATAATAGACATACTTCTATCTGACAAGGTGAACGTTACTTTCTTTGCATTATTACTATTATTATTGCTTAATATTTTGTTGCAGCAATCATCTGATTTCTTTTCTTAATGTATTTATCTTCATTCATTCTTTATGAGGTATTTCTTCTCAGTCCTTATGTTAAATATTGTTATTGTCATTACATTTAGCCTTTTTAATTCTGTAAAGGCCAAAGTGGAAACCTAATATACACATGTATAAGTCAGAAAAATTAATTTTAAAACAAAAGTCCTATTTTCTAATCTGAGGTCTGGACAACTTAGTTAATCTAGATTTCAATAAGGGCACAACCAAGAAACAGCTGTTAAAACCAAACACAAAGGAAAGAGGGGCATTGCCCACAGAGGGAGACCCCTCTGAGCACCTCTCAGGGCTCACCAGGCTCTTCAGGCCACAGAAGAGCAAATACCAGAGGTGGAAAAGCGATTGTGAAAGAAATAAAATGATTTGACCCAGATTGGGAAGATCTGGGGAGAAACATCCTGGCTGTTTCTAGAGGTAGACTCTCATTTCAAGCTCAGGTTTTAAAGTCAAGTGACTTGGAGCTCTGGGTTACACCAGGGGTAGGATTGGGCTAGATAGATGAATTAAACTGAAAAAGTTCATATTTCTGTCAAATCCTATCAACATGAAATTTAATTTGTATGATTTGCTCACTTGCATCTAACCAGCCATCACAAAGGCCTCACCCCGGGAGCACTGGTTTTATTCTTTCTACTATAGGGATGTGCCAATAAGTCACAGAAAGGAATCTACAGAAGAGGGCAGGTTGGTGGGGTGACATAGTGGCCCCAAGATGTTTCTGAAATGTCCTTTCCAGGCAGCAAACGGGTGCTGATAGGGTGTTCTCATCTCTTCAAGAGTGCATGGGACTGTGTAAACAGCAGGACAGTGGGGATGTCCCACCTACCATGCCTACTTTTTCAGGGTTCTCTCTACCTACCTTCCCCCCATTTAGATGTCCATTTGGCCTCTGGGGCAGAGACTGGCATCGAGCATCCTGCCAGGTCTGAGGCTGGCCCTGGCGAACCCTGGGAAAGGTGGAGGTACAGTCGGCAGCTAGGTACTGGTACACCTGCCAGGTCTTGCCAAAGTCTGAGGAGCGTTCGATCAGCATGCCAGCGGGCATGGGCCCCTGTGGAAACACAGGAAGGATGGAGAGGGGAAGCACAGGCTGTGCCCCCTGGGGAACACAATCACAGAAACAGGCTCTTCTAGTGAGGGAGGGAAGGGGACCAGTGGGAGCAGGTGAGCTCGGGAACATCTGGGTCCATTCCTCCTGACAAGCCACAGAAGTGTCTCCCCAGGAGAACCATGGAAAGTAACAGAAACTCGATCTGCATTCCAGGAGACATGATCCCTGGCTCAGCCCACCCTCAGGGCTTCCAGACTGGAAAAATCTCCCACTCTTACACGTTCCACACCAACCATTTTTATCCTAGCTCTGGGTTCTGTCCCTCCTCTCTCTCCTCTCTCCCTCTTTCTCAAATTGCCAAGGCCATGACTCAGGCCACAATCATGCTGAGCCTGATTGACTGCCACAGCCTGGGACTCAAGTTCAGCCCCTACCCTAGCCCTCCAGACCATTCTCCCCACTTCACCAGACATCTTTCCAGATGGTTATCTGATCCGTGAGGCCCTTCAATGGATCTGTATTGGCCTAAAGATAAAACATGAGCTCCTAAGCTTGACATATTACCCCCCTGCTGCTCCTCTCAGTGATTTCATCCTTTTCTGGTGGCTTTAAGTACTATCTTTATGCTGATGGCTCCTTACTTAGAATGGCAAGTTCATAAACTCAACCTCAAAACAGATCCTGAATCAGACCTAGTACAGTCTCTCCAGCTTTCCTAACCTCCCTAGAAGGTGCTACTGGCTTTCCCCACATTCCTTCCAGTCACACCTTCCACCGTACAGAGACAGCTTTCTTTGAAAACATAAAATGGACCATATCACTCCTCTAAACTGTGGATCCTCCAACTCACAATTCTTGCATAAAATCTAAACTCCCAAATATGATTGAGGAGGTCCTGGGTCCCACCTGCCTCCTCACTCCATCTCCAGCCACCTCCACCTCCCCAAGCCCTACACCACACCACCCACTCATTCCCTCCCCAGAGCCTTTATACCTGGTGCTTCGGCTGCCTGGAGCTCTCCTCTCTCTGGGACACTCCTCACTCTTTGCTCCCAGCTTAAATGTCGCTTCCTCATGGAGACCTTTTCATACCTGCCTAACATGCGTTCTGCTCATGCCCCACCGCCCCATTATTTCCTATCCCAGCACTTTGTTTCCTTCAGAAATGTCACCACAATTTCCAATTATTTCTATGTTGTTTTCCTGCTTTTTATTCTTGTCCCACTGCACTGGGATTTGTTGACTTGAATAAATCTCAATCATAAGAGCTGTACTGCACCTTGTAGGATGGTTAGCAGCATCCCTGGCCTCCACCCATCAGATGTCATTGCATACCTATAGGTGTGACAACCAAGAATGTCCTCAGACATTACCAAATGTCCCCTGGGAGAGGGAAGAGGGCAAAATCACCCCGGGTTGAGAATGTGGGCCTCATTGTCTGTCTTGCTCACACTTGTGCCTCTAGCACGTGGGTGCATAGTATGTGTTTGTTGAATGAATAGTAAGGCTTCAGTCTGCTCCCCTCCTTCCCCCATTTGTATTTGTACTGCAGCCCTCTATGTCTCCATCTTTCACCACCATGAACATGTTTTTCCTCCAGATCCCATGCACAATCCCTCCCCCACCCCAAAGCCCGTACCTTCTTGCCTCTTGCCTCCTGGCCTTTGCACTTACTGTTCTCTTTGCCTAGGATGAGATTTGCCCTTCACCTGGTCATTTTACTGGTCTATGAAGGTTCATCTTTCCGTGGTGCATTCTGGGACAACCCCTCCCAAGACAGACCAAGCAAGATGCCTCTTCTGTGCTTCTTACCAGTATCAGAGTGCACCCCACACTCTCTCCCCACTGGCTCTCTGCCCTCCCTACGCATGGTTAAAAGCAGCTTGAAGAGTGTGATGTGGTTTTATTCATCTTTCTATCCCTAACATCTGACACCAAATCTAATCCATAAACAGTATTCAAAATGTGTATAATAAGAATTGACACAAATACATATATGGGAGAGTGATAATAAGGCAATGAGACTACTCAACAGTATCCATTCAAATGAATGTTGTCCTTCAAAATTGTCACCTTTAGAGACTGGGCATTTATTCAAAGGATGCTGGCATGTCTCAAAATACTTTTGACCTTTACTCTGGACATCGCTCTTAGAGCCAGCTTCTCCAGCCATGTAAGAATTTAGGTCCTATTTTTATTCCAAGCTCATTTTAACTTCTGAAAATTATATCACCCTTCCCGGGCATTTAATCGTATCAACCAATTGTTGAATATTTGACTATTTCTGTAGAAAGAATAAAATCAAATCTTCTCAGAAAATAAAAAAAAAAATGACCCATCACAAATGAATAAAAATGTTTCCTCCCAAAGGAGTAACCAGAAGGCTGGACTAACAGCAGAATCCGAAAGTACTTTGAGAGGTGATAGCACAGAATGAGCGAATTGCCCACCAAGAGAGCTGTCCCAAAGGGACATCTTTCATGTGGATAGGCAAGTTGTTAGCTATTTGTTAAACTCAAACTCATTCACAAATTTATTAAAGTAAACTATATCAAGAATATATAACACAACAATATAATAAGCAACCAGGCCAGTAGAATTGGTACGTGACAGAGCTGAATTTAGATGGACTGAGGGTGGGAGACACAGACAAGCGGAGGATATACAACTACTGCATGACCAAGACAGGAAACCTGGTGGTGCCACCACATGATATAGTCTCATGGTGAGTGTTGCCCCAGCCTGTGTGCTCACGCAGCACACGGTACTGTCACCCTCAGCCTCAAGAGACAAGAACACAGGTCCTCCATGGGTCCAAGCCCATATGGGCCAGGATCCCCTCTCCTCTCTAATGCCACCCCCCAAGAAGCATACCTTAAACTCCATCATGATATCCCGAAGCTGGAATCTCCTGTCCAGGTCCAGCTGCAGAGAGACAGGGTTCACATCTGGAAGGATACAAAGTGAAAACATTAGGCTTCCCACTGAAGACACTTCTCAGCCCCGGAGAAAGCCCTGGACTAGAGTAGCTGTCAGAAGTCAGAAATTCTCTAACCCTGATTTTCCAGTTTCCCTCTTGGAGAGGAGTTGTACCAGGATGTTTTCACTTATCTGTTCAAAGTCCTATCTATTCTTGGCCAACTTTCCTTCCCATAGTCACCTGATGTCTCCAATACCTCTGTAGAGGGTTTAACTTGTCAAATCAACACAGACATGATCCCAAAGCTCAGTTCCCTCCACAAACCCCAGTGGGGTGGAATAAAAGACATTTCTCTTTCTTCAGACCCTTTCCTCGACTGCCAATAAACTTTTCTACCTACAACAGCCAAGAGATCCCAAATACAAGGCACAAATGTTCTGCTCATCAACCACCCTCCTCGCAACATCGCAGGAAATGCTGAGAGACCCAAGGTGTTCCCAGGCATCCTCCATCCATCTCCGTCCTGCGGATCCTCCAGTGTTTAGGTCCCTGTAGGTGGTAGACCCTCACCGTTCTGGGACTGCCACCAGCGCATGGGTCCTGAGGATGACACCACATTCTCCACTCGGTGACTGTTGTAATTGTGAGGCAGCCTGGAGTCACACCTGCAGCATTTCATCTGCCACTGTGGGAGAAGGAAACAGCAGAGACTCAGATCCCCAGATGTCCTGAGATCCCAACATGTCCCCTCCAGGGAAACCCTATCCTTAGGGAATTCAGAGATTTCATTAATCAGTTTGAAAGGATTAATCTCTTAAAACAGGACTGTTGGTCACTTTTCTTTCTTTTTTTTTGCAGTTTTTGACCAGGGCTGGGTTTGAACCCGCCACCTCCGTATATGAAGCCAGCACCCTACTCCTTTGAGCCACAGGCGCTGCCCTATTGGTCACTTAATTTAATTCCTCTGTGTCCCTCCTAACAAATATCAAGTGAATAGTAAATACATATATAACTGGGGAAGAGGTGTGATGTGGTGTAAAATATAATTCTGGAACATGACATTGCCTCGGAAAAAAACCTGAGAAATGTGCCAAAGGCAAAAAGACGAAAGGAGGAGAAATTCCCTTAGCACCTGCTCTGGGCTAGATGCGGGTTAGGAAATGCTTTATCTTACCTCCTTAATCCTGGTGGCCTGGGGAGTACTGAGTTTTTGAGGAGTGGGGAGAGAGGACTCCAAAAAAGGACAAGGAAATCAGGGGTCCCAGCCCTCGCTCTGTCACCCCAATTTCTAGGCTGTTTTTTCCTCTGTAAATTGAATGGGGGGGGGGGACGAGAGTATTTCATCCAGCCAACAAATATTTATGAAGCAGGTACTGTGTGCTTCACTGCTCTGGGCTCTAGAATTATAACAGTGAACAAAACAAAGACCCTGCCCTCAGGAAGTTAGTTGACATTCTAGTGATAGATGATTTCTAAAGGCCGTCGTCCAGCACTGATACCTGGGGCTGGAGCATCCTTCCCTGATTCTCTCACACGAGAGAAACCAGCCTCACTCAGAAGGTCCCAATAAGTCACAGCTTCCTGCATTCAGGGGGTTTAAAAGGAGCAGTGAGAGAGGAAGTAATAAAATATCAACATCAAGTGACGGGGAACTACCTATGTGGCAGGAAGTATATTAGGTCACTTCAATACCATCACCTTCTCAAATCCCACAATAACCCTGTGTATTGGCCCCATTATACAGATGAGAATTCTGAGGCTCAAGGAGGTGACGTGGCCTTCCTATCAACCAGTCACAACTGCCAGCATCAGGGAGGGCCTCTTAACACCTCCCTCCCGTCTCTTTCTCTCTTTTTCTCTCTCTGCTCCATCATTTCACTTCCATTAGGAGCCAGCTGAGCAACAGAGGTTGTCGGAAGCATGGTGAAGGGTTTGTCTCACCCAGTGGGTCACGAGAAGCCCTGGGTGTAACCCTGAATCTTAACAAGAGGGAACCCTAAGACAAAGAGAGCACACTGGGGAGAAACCAGACTTCTCCAGCTGACCTAGCTCAGTTGCCACAGACACTTGGGGATCTGTCATTGACTGAAATACCTGAGCACTTAAAATAATCCTTTCTGGGCAAGAGAAGACTCTTGCTGGAATCTGACTCCCCTTCCGAGCCCTATTTTGGTGCCTGGCAGTGAGCATGCCCTTCTCTGCACTCTGCCCAGCCTCTCAGGGACAAACTTTTCCACTCCCATCCTCTGTCTGCACTCAGCACATGTCCTGAGGAGAGACAAGAGCCAGCTGCCTTCCCACCGCCTGTCACCAGAGCTCTCTCCCCGGCTCTCCTGGGAGCTGGTCCCAGCCCTTCCCTGGTCAAGAAAGTGCGAGAAACCAGCCTCTTTCTTTCCCTGGGTCATGGACAAGGAGCTAGAGACTGCGGGGATGCCCTTAATACTCCTGAATGACAGAATATTATGTAACTATTAAACACAATGTTTAGGTAAAAAGTTTTTAATTGCATGGGGAAATGATTACATTATAGTATTTCAGGGGAAAAGGTGGGGCATAAACTGTTATATATACATTAGGACCTCAGTTATATATTGTTAAAGGAATAGAAAATGTTCGGAAGGAAATACACAAACATGTAAGGTGAAATGATATGAAACTGCTGATATTCTCCCATTTTGACCTACCAAAGTGGCACCTACAGATAGTTCAACCTAATATCTCTGGGTAACGGAATTGATTACAGGGCATTTTTTCCTTCATTGTTATTTTTAAATATGTTTTACATACTTTTACAACTTGAACATACATTGACTTCTATGCTCAGGAAAAGGGATGATAGAATAAAACAAAACCAAACAAAAATGTCCAGGGCATTCGGTATGGGCTCTTCCCCTGCCTCCACCTTCCAGGTGCTCCCACCCTTCTCCACCTTCCTTCCACGTGTGCAGGCCGTGACGGAGGGATCAGATGGCCTCATGGGCTTAAAAACTATGTGCTGCTTATCTTAGTAACATAGCTGAACGAGGGATTTATCTCAATCCTCAGAGGCAGGCTAAGCCAACAAGCTTGAGACAGGTATTTTAAGTAGCTCGCCTTGTCAACTACTGGCAGGACGGAGGCCTGAAATATAGCAGCTTAAGGCAGAGGCCTGCATAAAGACAAGCTGCCAATATCTTCTGTCCCTCCGGGCCTCTGTTTCCCTGTTTTATTCTTGTATGTTTCTATGTAGTGTGTGCATATATGTAGTACGTGCAAGTGTGAATGTGGCTGTGTGTGAGTCTCAATGTGAGGCTCTCTCTCCCACGGGATACATGCCCAGTCTCTCCCAGAAATGGAAGCTCTCAGTGGCAGCTGCCTCCCTCCCTGGGGTCATCTGGCCAGTGTTCTCCTGGCTGCGTTACCTCAGAGACGCAGCATTATTATCAATTCAGCCTGTCAGGCCTCCAGCCAGTTTGGCTCCTGCCTGCGCTCCAGCTGGAAAGCCTGGGCCTTCTCCCTTATCCCAGAGCTTTCTAGAAGTTCAGCAGTCTGATGGGAAGACAGTTTCTCCCAGAGGGCTAGAGGAGGGCAAAGGACTGAGCAAGAGCCAACATGAGCCTGAATCTCAGCGGAGATGGGTGGGGAAAGAAGACATAAGTGAATAAAATTCTGTGTCTTTGCAGGATGTAGAGCTAATTCTGGGAGGAGAAATACAAAAACAGACTATGGATAGGCATGGCACAGCTGCCTCCTGTGAGGGAGCCGGGGCTGCCCATGTCTATGGAAGCAGCTACAGTCAAGATCATGGCCACCAGCCAAGGCCAAAAGAAAGGCAGTCAGGACAAAAAAAAAAAAACTTAGCTCATACATATCCTCCATTTCAGCTTTCTCATTGGTGAAACGCAGGCCTTGGGTGAGATAATGAGGTTGCATCTTGCTCCAACATGCTAGTAAAATTCTCCCCTGCTTCAGCTTATCAGCCCAGAAGCTAAAGGCACTCCCAGCAGGGACGCAAAAAAAAGTAAGAGGAAAATAAGACATTAGCCAGATACTGTTGGGAGAAACACTCTTCCCAGCCAGGGCAGAGGGAAGGGGGACCCTGAAGTCCTTTGGTCAGCAAGGTCTCCATTAGACCCCTTTGTAATTCAAAAGCCTTGGTATCTCTATGTCACTGGGTATTGCCTGTAAAGATCAAAAGTTAGGGCCTGCTGCATGTGCGGGAGGGAGAGGATGGCAATGCTGTGATGTCTTTTTCATTGTTATGCAGTAAAATTTTGACAAAAGCCTTAATTCAGC